ATAGTTTTGTGCATTGGATTTATTACCGATCTATCAGCTCGGTACTTGCTAGATGTTGATGATTCTTGCATGGTAAATGATAAATTGTTTTGGTTTATTGGTGTTGCAAACCTATCTATTTAACAAGGTAAGAAATTCAGTGGAATCGATTGTCTGAAGCGGTCTAAGATAAACGGAATTGAACAGGGAAACGTTGAGTAGGAGTTTGCAATTGACTATTTACATATATCAGTCTGCCTTTTTTATGTTTACTACTGTGTTTATCATATGATCCGGTATCAACATCATCATTACATGACAATCTTTTAGTTTTACTCATTTTATAAATAAAAAGCACTTTAAACGACATGTACCTCCCCACTTCTTGCGTTTCCTCTTCTATATAAATAAAGGCGAGCTTTTCTTTTATGCCGTCACACCTTCATATTAAGAAGCCAACTACATTAAAGTATTGTTAAATGACTAATGATGAGAGCTAATGATGTTTCTGCATGATATTGACCGAGATAACTATCAGAAAGTAGCAAACATTTTGCATCAACTAGTGGCAAAAAACAATGATCTCGCCAGTAGTCAACGAGAGATGTGGTCACTTTTCCCGATGAAGACCAAGTGATGACAACAGTTTTTGGTTCAAACAAATTCTTTTTCACTTGTTCTCCCGTTTTTCCTAAAAATAGGGGAAAGAAAGGGAGCAAACATTGTTCGACGAACAATCCACTTTTTGTATAACTTACCGCCCGGTTCTTGTAAACACAAATAAGTTTTATCCAAAAGGTGTCCGTCTAAGGAAATAGTTGGTTGCAAAGTGTAAGAGTGTGTAGTGGCATTTTTCGATTGAATGGCACCAAAAGTTTTCTTTTCGCCGGAAAATGATATAGTTCGAGAACAGTGTAAGTCTTTTTCAACACCCGTTTGATCTGTATTGAAAATATCTGGCGAACTGAAATGTGGCGAAATTTTGTTATATTCCAAACAAAGTCATGTTTCGACTTTTCAATGACATTTCGATTTTCGACCTGATGATGCGAAACGAAATTTATTACTTTTCGAGAAGTTAATTTACGTCCAGCTTTGAAATTTTCGATCCAGTGATGAGACGCATGAAAATTGTCCACTTTCAGTTCTTGGCTACTTTTATTGCCCACCTTTGAATGTCCAGACCATGAACCAGAAGTCCTTTTTCTAGTTTTTTGTAAACTAGCTCGTCCACGTTCTGTGTCTTCTGTCTCTTTGTTCCGTGGTATCGACGGCGAATACTTTTCCATGTATGGGAATGTTTACCAAATCTGTTTGTTTCATCGGCAAAATCAACAACCTGACGCATAAAGTCTTCTGAATAATTTTTCAGATTATATTTGTCAATCGCTTTTTCTTTATCTTGCCAATCTGGATCGGCCTCTTCAGTCCCTGCCTCTATTTCGCTTCTCTCTTCTTCTTCTTCACTATGTTCTTCGTCCGACATTTCTCCTGAGACTTCACTTCACTAACGGGGGTGGCCCCCAACTGTCGAGAAGCTTTTTGCCCAAAACTTAGTGGACAATAGGTAATCGAGTGTCCTGATTCCGAATATTACGTTGGTTTGGGCCCAATTTTAGTTTAAAGACCCGATTTTTGAAATACTGGGTTTTGGGGTCGAAAAACCGTTTGCACCGTTGAACCGAAAAAAAAACCGTTTGCAATAAAAAAAATTTTAGATCCGTGAATGTGAAAGAGCATATCACGAAATCCACGTAAAAGTGTTTTCAAGGTTTTAGAGGAGGTTTTGAGCGGGTTTTGGAAGACTAAAACTTAAAACTACATTAAGGAAAACGCGTTTTCGCACTTATGCGTTTTGTGCGATAAAAATATGTTTTCTAGGTTATCGAACTTGCCAAATTCGAATATTCCATTGTTTTCAGTCCTTAGAAGAGCTAAAGATTTGGATTTGACGGAGACAATAGTTTGATACAAAAATCTTTTACGTGAATGAACACGAAAACCGCGTAACTCTGCTACCAGAATCTAGAACATCACAGTTCATCAAAATCCACTACTAGCTCAATTCGAAATAATTGACGACTTTTCGGTTACAATCGAAATACTAAAAGCCCTAAAAATGAAACGACAATGTTTGTGAGGCTCTTCGTATTTTAAGTACAGCATAAAAAGAGTCAATTATTTTGAATTGAGCTAGTGATAGATTTTGAAGAACGCACTTCATTCTACAAAACAAGACGCTTTCCAGGAATCTACGATATTCTTTCCGAAAATTATAGGATGGACGAAAAGAGAAAAAACGGTAACGCACAGAGATTCCGGTAGCAGAGTTACGCGGTTTTCATGTGAAGCAGGTTTTCGGCATACCTAGATTAAAAAAACCTAGATTCAAAGCATAGTTTCTTTGAACATCGAGCAGTGTTTATAAAAACTGATTCATCACAATCCTTCTTTTCACACTCTTCATGATTTCCTGATTTTGTGAAGCAAACTTCATTGATATTCTGAAAGGGAGATTGGTCTTCTTTTAATAAGCCACTTGAAAAGCATGAATATTTGATCATTGATACAAAGACGTCCGCACTCAACTGATTATGCAGGAGACTGACCAAGCGAATAATGTTATTCCGCTGATGTAAATGTATGTAGAGCTCATCCAAAGCCATCCGGTTATAACATGCTTTCAGAAAATGTTTTATTTGCCGATTGAAATAACAGTTGAGCGGTTGGAGCTGGTCCGTTGTATTTTGGGGTATTTGTAGACGGGTAACTTATTTTCCACCACAGTTTTTCGGTCATATGTTTCTGCATGACATTGACCGAGATAACTATCAGAAAGTAGCAAACATTTTGCATCAACTAGTGGCAAAAAACAATGATCTCGCCAGTAGTCAACGAGAGATGTGGTCACTTTTCCCGATGAAGACCAAGTGATGACAACAGTTTTTGGTTCAAACAAATTCTTTTTCACTTGTTCTCCCGTTTTTCCTAAAAATAGGGGAAAGAAAGGGAGCAAACATTGTTCGACGAACAATCCACTTTTTGTATAACTTACCGCCCGGTTCTTGTAAACACAAATAAGTTTTATCCAAAAGGTGTCCGTCTAAGGAAATAGTTGGTTGCAAAGTGTAAGAGTGTGTAGTGGCATTTTTCGATTGAATGGCACCAAAAGTTTTCTTTTCGCCGGAAAATGATATAGTTCGAGAACAGTGTAAGTCTTTTTCAACACCCGTTTGATCTGTATTGAAAATATCTGGCGAACTGAAATGTGGCGAAATTTTGTTATATTCCAAACAAAGTCATGTTTCGACTTTTCAATGACATTTCGATTTTCGACCTGATGATGCGAAACGAAATTTATTACTTTTCGAGAAGTTAATTTACGTCCAGCTTTGAAATTTTCGATCCAGTGATGAGACGCATGAAAATTGTCCACTTTCAGTTCTTGGCTACTTTTATTGCCCACCTTTGAATGTCCAGACCATGAACCAGAAGTCCTTTTTCTAGTTTTTTGTAAACTAGCTCGTCCACGTTCTGTGTCTTCTGTCTCTTTGTTCCGTGGTATCGACGGCGAATACTTTTCCATGTATGGGAATGTTTACCAAATCTGTTTGTTTCATCGGCAAAATCAACAACCTGACGCATAAAGTCTTCTGAATAATTTTTCAGATTATATTTGTCAATCGCTTTTTCTTTATCTTGCCAATCTGGATCGGCCTCTTCAGTCCCTGCCTCTATTTCGCTTCTCTCTTCTTCTTCTTCACTATGTTCTTCGTCCGACATTTCTCCTGAGACTTCACTTCACTAACGGGGGTGGCCCCCAACTGTCGAGAAGCTTCTATGTCTTCTGTCTCTTTGTTTCGTGGTATTCCAAATACCGTCGAAATCCAGAGATATATTTCTGGTCTGGAACTGCTTTAAATCGACGGCGAATACTTTCGCATATATGGGAACGTTTACCAAATCTGTTTGTTTCATCGGCAAAATTAACAACCTGACGCATAAAGTCTTCTGAATAATTTTTCAGATTATATTTGTCAATCGCTTTTTCTTTATCTTGCCAATCTGGATCGGCCTCTTCAGTCCCTGCCTCTATTTCGCTTGTCTCTTCTTCTTCTGCACTATGTTCTTCGTCCGACATTTCTCCGAGGTCCAAAGTAATTTCTTCATAATAGTCAAATTTTGGACCTTTTGAAAGTAATGCAATTGTATCTGCTAATTGTTCCGCCATTTGACGCTCCTGCATTGTCACTGGGGGTGGTTGATTAATGGTTAAACTTGTAGCAACTAACTGGTTCAAAGTGGAAATAACATTCTGAAGGTTCATTGCTCCCAATGAACGAAATTCCTAAACTTGTCTCACTCTTAACAACCGAATAAAGCGTGAGAAATTTCGTGTTATATTTAAAATACAATATGTTAGATCCGGTATACGTTGTTGTGTATAAGTAGTTTATTTAGAAACTGAACACGATCCTTTTGCACAAAAATGGCGTATATTTATATCAAAGTTTACACGAAAAGCGGAATATTCTAGAGTTGATGTGCTAGACTGGGAACTGGGGACACATGTAAGCGATCACACAAAATAAAGAAACTAACAACTAACACTGGAGAAATTCCTGACAGAAAGAAAGAGAACGAATATACATATATATATGTATGATACCTATCATACAATTCTCTCTTGTGGCACGTCTTTAATCTGTGCCATAACACAATAATCTTCAGAAAAGCGAAAGAAACTAGTACTTGTATAGATTTGACCTAATTCTATTTACACATTGTTCTTTTCTTCTTTCTTGTAGCAGTACGTTACTCAAGTTCGTTCCCTCAATTTTAGCAGGTTGCTTCCCATTTTGCAAGCAAATTACTGTTTTCACACCTTCTACATTTCCCATTTTGCAAGCAAACATTTTATCAAAAATTTTCCCATTTTGCAAGCAAGTAATTAACAAAAAAAATGTATATATTAGAACGATAAATGTATAGTATAACAAAACAATATGTACTACTCCACGTCTTTTCCACTAACGTTATGTATGAATCGGTAGGCAGTTTACTGCTGATTTTACTGAATCAAAATGCATGTCTAGAGAAGAACCTGTCTTTAATAACAAAATATGCTTAGTGGTGGTGATAAACCTACTATTGATGTTCATGCTTTGCGACACAGCTTTACACAACTGTTCTTCATATATTTGTGTTACAGGAATGGATTCTGTGATGCATCTTTTTTTCATTTCTTTTGTAATCACTTGTCTGTCCGTTACTACACACTTATGGATACATTTCAACTGAAGCGCATCTCTGAACGTTGATGCTGAACCTCTACATCCACGTCTAAACAAAAAAGAAAAAAATGTTGCTAAAATGAAAAAAAATGTTAACTAATTCATGGTTAACAACTTATCTTACACATTGCCATAGTTCAGAACCGTTTTTATTTGTTCTCCGTAATGAATATTCATATCTGCAAAATAGAAAACTTTTTGTTAGTTTTTTTGCTTGCAAAATGGGAACTGGACAACGTTTGAAAAAAAGTTCCTGCTTGCAATTTGGGATATCATAAAACAATCAAATATAAAATTGCTTGCAAAATGAGCATGAGCCTTTTATCAACATAGCACTCTTAATCCTCGATTTCCTCAGTAAACCCTTTCTTTTCCTTTCCGTATATTTCAACAAATGGCCGAAATCAATTAAAAAATTAAATTACAGTTTTTATTCAGCTCAAAATCTTTCTACCGCTTTATCTTGTTGAATCAATCCGCCATGTTACAAACCTGTGTAAAGCATCGAAATAAAAATTTTAAAACATAACTTTTTACCCGAATTACTTGACGTTTAATTGGATGAACTCAAAGGTATTGGTATGAACTTCAGACCAACTTTAGGAAAGAATAAAGAACTGGAAGAAGTCTACTTAAAAGTCGTCGAGAAATATGTTTGACTGTACAAAAAATATATATGTGTAAGAACTTCATAATATTGGCGTTACGCAAATGCTGCAAGGACACCTTATGCATGGTGTAAAAGGTAACTGACGAAGTAGCAGGGTACAGATATGAGTAGTTGCATGAAACTGATGATAAATAGGAAACAGATGTAAGAGGTGGAAGTGAAAAAAACTAAAAACCATGAATATCCTAAAATTTACTGTGTTTGATGGAACATATTGCTGTTAAGGTATTTCAAATCACACCTGGTACATTATTTCGAGATCCCGATGATAGAGAGAAGTTGTTC